ACTCTACGCGTTTTATGTAAATACGGACAAATTATAACAGTAGGAGCTTTTACTAGGGTTAATTTAATAATTGTGATGCAAATTAGTTTTTAATGATGAATTAGTTCATTAGCAGTAATTGTGGTATCATGACGCAATAGTAGTTGAGAGTAGAATTTATTTAAAAGAAAATTGAAGAAATAAAGCACGATAAATTTGAATTCTTTGCCGTATATACCCCTAATGATGGTGACATAAGGCCAATGAAAAAAGCCCGATAGTGTATTGTTGATGAGCTTGTTGAAGTTTCGAGCTTCGCACGATTCGTTAAGCTCCAAGGATCGTCAATGCTCACAATCATTTACTAACAACTTCGAAATTTATTTATACTAATTGCAGAGGGTTTTTGATTGTGCTTATCTCAGTCTGCTGGCTTTGGTACGATCGCATCTTTAATCACGCGCTCAAATTCGAGCGAGGAAAAAATTTCTCAATCAAAACTTGCTGCAATTTAAACTTGAATAATTTGGCGTAGGAAAATTTCACATAAATTCCGTTTTTAATTAAAATGTTAATATGCGAACGTGTTAATTTTTTTAGCAAGATTAAATGAGCGTAAAGCTGTACACAAATAGATTTAATTAAAGCTAACTAAATGAATTTTCTTGATTAGTGATGCATGTTTCTGCACCACCCACTCGTCACTACACTTCTTATCAAATATGAAATACTGCAGGAACAAATAAAATTTATTTTTCTTTTTATACGCACGCATAGTTGATGTAGGATACCGCTCATTAATATTTCTAATCGGAATTGTTAATTATAGGAAAACGACACATTACTTTGCCCAATCTACACTGTAAAAACTCGCCGTATATTATTCATTAATAGCTTATTTCCTTTCCGGTCTCCCTTTCAATGAATTTTACAGTGGTTGACAGATGCCTCATCAATAGTCTTGACCGTGTTTCTCGCACTACATAAATTCTATGTTAACGGGTACCGTGAGTATAATTATTTTGTTAAATCTGATTTCTACTTATGCTAATTTTCAATTTCAATACGTTGATTCATATTTGAAAAACCTAAATCTTTGCTAAATAAGTTCACAATAGCAATAATTTTACGGAATACAGGGCGGCTCCAATCAGCCAATTTACAATGATTGATACTTTTAAGAAACATTTTTTAATTTATGTCAAAATACGCAATTTTCTTAAAGAGAACCAATCAAAAATTTACAGTACCTCATAGATATCGTTCTGTGTAATCGGTGGTTTTCATATAATACGTTCACACAAAATGTACGATGAATTTATTTCTTGACTGCTAATAAACTAACATTATTTTTTGCGCATTTTATCTCGGGTTGGCTTTTATATGTATAGTTTATCTTGACCAATTTTAAGGCAAATTATCGTTTAAAAATTCTTACCTATTCTCTTGGATTAATCCCTACTCATCTTTTAAATGTACAAAATCAACCACAAAATGGTGCTGGTCCATCTTTAGTATATATGAACGAAAATGATTCGTTCAGCTCCACCAATTAAAAGCGCCCAAAGCTCATTCATCAAAAGCCCGCGGCTGCTTAATATTGCAAATTCAGCGTATTTTCCTTGCTAACGCCCGACAGACCGGTAACTTCCCTAAAGCTACGGTTTCCTTGGAAGCGGTGCCGTCTTTTAGCGGCCGTTAAAGTACGGTGAGTGACGTCACAAAAAACAAGAAAAGTGTGACCACCGAAGTGGAAGAAAATAGGCCAAAAGTTGAAAGTAAAGCGTCATGGAATAAAACGTTGCAGAACTATTCCGGCGTACTGGATTACCGCTTCTATTAAGACGGTACCGCTTTAATACGTACGGCTTAATACTCGGCACTGTTTTTTGTGACATCACCTACCATACTTTGACGGCCGCTGAAAAACGGTACCACTTTTGAGGAAACTCTAGCTTAAGCCATTAAAAACACCAAAACACCAGGGACCGACAACTCAGTAGATCGCCAATTATATTAATAACTTACTGACTTTTGAAACATTGAAATCTATATAAATTTTGTAGAAATTAACCCTCTGGAATCCGAATTTTAATATCTCAAGAACTATGAGTGTAACATAAATTATTTATAGAACCCATTTAATGGTGCCATTTTAATAGGTAAAAAAGACCAATTTCGATATTTAACTTATAAAGAAAGCGTTCGGGACGGTAGTCAAGCTTCAAGCATACTCGTTGACCGAGGAAAGAGGTGTGTGCATACTTAAGCGAGCAACTTGCAATGTGGTCGTTCAATGAGCCGAGCGTTTCTAAAAATGTACACAATCGACGAATTTGAATCGTAAAAGTGAAATGTAAAATGTAACCAGGCAGTTGTAAAGTAAATTCACTGCGAACCCACTATCGGAGTACTTCACTACAAGGTAATTGTTTTCAATTAAGATTAATTGATTGAATTATAGATACAATATTCCTGCGGTCTCTTGTTAACCGTATTTTAATTTTATTATTTCATGACCACATTGGTTGTGGCGAACCTCTTACACAGCACGCCGGTCGCCTTGCTTTGCTGGAGGTTCGCTTGTGGGAAAGCAATTTTTTGCGTATGGTGTTTCCCGGGTTGACCCCCTAGGCACATAGGCACCCTCACCGGACGACTGGAGTTCACTAGTTGGGGGAGCCTGTACCTTCGGCGGGTTGTTCCGTTTGACCTTTTTACTCTTATTCTTCATTTGGCCGCAAAAGTCACAATAATCGCCTTTGGAATCGGTTTCTCATCCTACTTACCTAGGAATTGAGGACACGCCGTTCCTCCTTCTAGGTTTCTAATGGTTTCAAGGATTCCCTCCTGAAGTGCTTTAAGCTCTTCTGTAGTGAGGTTCACCTTCGGATACTTGCCATTCAGTATCCCTATTCCTTTTGCCCTCTATAGCCTGTTTATGAGCTGTAGATGGATTCCTTTGGAACCGTACTCTCACTTGGACCTGTTGTCTCCCTGCGTGGCTGTCTCCTTGTCTAGGCAGTCTCGGAGGTGGTAGCGTCGGACCGGGACCTTCTCTTCCCTTTGTCCGAGTTACCTTGTTTTCTCGGCGGAGAGAGTGTTGCCTCAGCCAACGGTACCGTTTCCTTGCAGCACCGCTTATCTTGGGGAGCCTGACTGTCGGCTGGATTTTGGCCATAGCCTCACCCAGCATAGTTGCAGCCTTATCTGCATTTTGTGACTCCGCTCTGGTTGAGGCAACTGCTGCTTTTGAATTCTGGCAGAGCACTGAGTGGGTCCGCGTGAGGCAGAATGACTTCAGGTCCCATGGTTGGTGAATTACAAGGGCATCACGCTCTGTTACTTTTAAGAGTTCTATAATGCGAGTCCCATGAGAATTTTTTTAAATGGCAGTGCACCTTGCGATACCACTGTCTTCTTTCCTGCTTAACGAAACCGGTAACTTCATACCCATACAAAACATACCCATTTCCAATGCTAAAATTCAATTGTTTGTTCGTTATACATTTGTTTTCTGAAATAAAAACAATTGAATGCTTACTTATTATGGGAAATAAAATGTTCAACAACTTCCATATGGAAACATTTTTTATACGGTCGATATTTACCGAGATATATACTATTTTGCAGATTTTTTTAATTGTATTTCAAACAACTTGCTGAATAGTATTGAACATTAAATTAAAGGAGAAGGCGTTGTAATTGCAGTGACGTATTGGTAAATTTATCAATTAATTTAGCAAGCGAGCGAGCCCAGTTGACTCGCTACTCCACATGGCGGAGCCTCGGGTTAGCTGGGTTAGCACTTAGCGGCCTGGGCCAGTCCGGCCCTGATGGGCACCCTGTATGTATATGTACCAAATGTCATAAGGATCAACTATTCAATTCTAGCGACCATATTTGACTCCATAACTTTTGACCTGGACTCTTGATTTCAAAAACGTACTGACAAATTAGGGAGTACTAGGCACCGGCGAATTTCGTATTGTAGTCTATTTAAAGACACAAATGCGATAAAACGAAATCTTTGTCCTAAAGAGTTAAGCTCAATGAGCGTTTTTATTCTTTTGAGCCTAACATATACAAAGTATATAATAAGAAACAATTTGGACCAATTTACTTTAGACGAAGGCGTTTAGCGCAGATAATTTAAATGTTATTTCTTAATAGAAATTGGGATGGTTCAACAAAGAGAGAATTTGGCACGTGCAAATGAGCGGACGTTCTCTCTATTGACATAAATATGACAAACACTTATTTCCTTCAGTAAATAGTAGGTTGTGTTAACGAGGGCGGATTACGGGCAAAGTAAACAACAAAGTATAACAATCGTCTTCTATTTGTCCGTCCTAATTAGCTGAATGTTCCTCGTTAGCGCGCCACCCGCGATCATTGGGGAGTTTAGATTCGGCACACAATCGACAATACCGTAAAATTGAACTAATTAATGTTATGATTAATGAATCAAAATGTATATCGAAATGTTAGGGATTAATTTACGCCATTAGCTAACAAATAATGAATCCAGCTAGCGCTATAATCGAAAGGAAATGTAAACAGTACATCGATATTTGTGCACGATTACCTATTTAATTAATAAAACTTTGTTTTTATTCCCAGTTCGTTTGCTCGAGTGTTCGTTATCGCGCTGATTTAATACGAATAAATCCCGATTTTTAATTTCCCAGATTGAGCTCAAAGAGGCACTGTGATTAACCGAGCCCTGGAATTACAACTAGCAATAAACCTCACCCTCTGATTACAATTAGTTTAACTTGCAAATTCGAGAGTTCATTGCACATTTATTACATCAGTTTTGCTTCAATTCGTTTACTCCATTAACCAAGGATAGAGCAAAAGTACGCTACAATTCATTCTCTGTGACGCATTAAATTACAATATTTAAACGTTTCATGAGGGTTTGTCTAGAAAACGCCGGAGATATCAGTAATGAACCCGCATTGGCCCTTACACAGTCTCTATGATGGTCATCAAAAGCTGATTTAGTGTATTGTCAGTTGCAGGACCGGACTAGACCATGCGACGACTTGTTCGCATTGTAATATTGTGAATCGCCCATCATTACTGAGCATGCACAGCACGGACAATGGAAACGGTAAGTCTTATACATATTTTGCGTACCGTTTACAACAAAATTGAATTATTAAATATTAAAAATCTTATAAGACCCAATCTTGACATCAATTTCAATTCCATCTGCCGTAACACGTATAGGTTATTTGATATTCCGTAATATTTATGATTTCGTTCGCCTCTGACTGCTAAATCCATCGGGTCGACTGTCAAGATGCCCTCTCTCATCTTCCTATCTATAATACACGTTCGAATAGGAAATCACCGGCATCGAAAACAGTTGGATCCGATAAAAGTTGTATAAATTCGTACGAGCGGGAGCAGCGATAAATCTCTCGCTTAAGGATATTGTTTGAGGCACGTGACACATTTAGGCCGATAGGTAGCACTGTCTCTGATAGTAAGAGCTCTCGAAATTTCCTTTCTCTCTCCTCTTTTTGCCATTTCCATCGGCCGTTACAGGGCCTTGAGTATTTTCTAACGCACCAACTTCATTTCGCGGTCTTGTAGAGAAATATCTGCCCCGAAAGCTTTTCAATTTATATAAGTTATCATTATCGAATAGTATCAACGTTACGTGTATACGCTGTCTAAATAGATACCCCTTACTTATTTACTACGTTCACCTTTTCATTTTATTGGATAGTGTTTTTCTCCACTGCAAAAGTACCTAGCTTCCAACTACTGTAATAGTTAAAGCACAATTTTAATTTTTCAACGGATTAGTGCCGTTAGATTTCAAATGCTATTTAATAATTAACTACTACATTTTGGAAAATTAAATTCCAATGCACGTGATTTATGTTATTTCGTAATTATGATAGGATAGACGATTTAATTTGATTTGACAAATGCACCATGAATTGCCTTATAACATTACTATAACAGTTAATTATAGTTTTACATAATAAGCTCCGTTTTTCTAACAGTACTACATTTTATCGTCAATGTATGTTTGATATTTTCATTTGCACTAGATTCTGCATATGTTCCCTACACATTCAGTTGTTTTTATTTCAGAAAACAAATAAGTAACGAAAAACAATTGCATTATTTTAAATGACAGTGCACCTTTTCATTGGGCGCATTTGATAGTGTTTTTTTTTCTCTTTTCGATGATATAACATGTTAGTGCCCTTATTAAAAAAAATGTTTTTTAAATGTATTATAATTTGATCAATAACATTAATCCAGATATCCTACATCACAGTAAAACAATTGAACGTGTACGTTTCTTATTAAACCTTTGAAGACAAAATAAAATTAGCAGTAAAATGGCCTAGAAAATGGCTTTCATCGCAATGAGTGTTCAAAATTAACTACAAGGCAGTGGCATAACCTATCACAAAAAGCTTGAAATAAAAATTATTTTCTACACGGGTGCTAACGTGGTCCGTCATTCAAAAGAGAAAAAAATCTCTATCAAATGAGCCTAATGAAAGTGTGCTTGCTATTTACAAAAATTCAATTGCTTTTAGATATTCTAACTTATAGAAAAATTTTATATACAGTCCATATTTACCGAGATATATACTATATTCCATAAATAATAGGCACCCTGTATGCTGCAGATGTTGTTACACCGTCATAGTATTTGACATCAAACCGAGTCATATTGTAGTAGTAGGTACAAAGTGATTAATCGTACACGTCAATTTTAGATTCGATTCAGAATATAATCCTTCTGTAATAGTTTCATCCCTTATTAGGGATGCTCACACTATCTGAAACCTTATGGACCGAAATAATTTTAGGAATTTAATTAATCTAGAATCTACCAGAGTTTGAAAAATCCGAAGAATCTTAAGAAATGTGAAGGTTCTGATGGAACTTGAAGAAACTAAAAAATAGAAAAACCACCCAAGAATCGGAAAAACGTCAAACATACAACTAAACGAAAAATTTTGAAGGACTTGGGGAATGTAGAGAACTGATTTGAAGGACCTAAAAGAATTTAAAACTGAACAATATACCTACCAGAATGCGAAGAAACGTCCCAAAGCGAAACATTTTCCATCTAATTTTTTACATAGCGCTCCATGTCTGTTGGACTAATATTTTCATTCTCCATGCTCGATTTTCCAATTTTGAGGAGTGAATTTGGTACCAAGAATGGTACATTACCACTATAGATAGTCAGAAATATGTTTGGAATAATGGGACAATGCACATTGGTCGCTGATATCTGTGAGATACCCTGCCCCACCTCCCAATGCATTTTTGTCTATCTTGATAGAAGACAATATCTGCAGCGTTCCGATTAATTTGCAGTTCATGTGCACCGGGCCGTATAGTTGGCGAGAAAAAATGAAACAAGGCGGTGATTATCCAAAGTTTAGCGCGTAAATGATGGTACTGATTGACTTTACTGCTTATAAAGTCTCAAGATCTAGGTTGATTTTAAAACCTTCACGCATTACCTAATATCAATGTAGATTTTGATTCGAAAGGGACTTCTCTGCCTATCCAGCCCCATCGCTGCACAGAATCTAGGGGTGGCGCACGTGGTAATATCACCATGGCAATAACCAATACCATATAAAACACCATATAAGTTAAACAAGTATAAATTGTGCACAACTCTTGTGCAGATAAAGCGCATTTTTTTTAACCGAAATAGCTTTTGTTTTGACCAATCACCAATGGATATATTTCTTGCAGACGTCTCAATCGCCCTTTGTGAGTACCCTCTTCCGATAATCCGTTCTTGAGGTATAATAGGGAATATACCCGATCACGATCAGAGGTCGAGGAGGAGGGCTATGGTTGATAGAAATTAATTCCTTTCGTTGAGACCTTTCATTAGAGTACTATGAAGGATAAAACTAGTTCCACTCCCCACTTCAATTCTTAAAAAATGCGATAAATATTTAGTATATCCTATCCAAAGAAAAAATATCAACACATAAAACCCTTGATTCTACAGTTTTCGTTACAAGGGTGTTCAACGAGAACGACCAGCTGAGTCGACTATTATCTGCAAAGCTAATGCGAATAAATTTCCGAAATCTGTACGTATATGAGTTACAGGTATATTCAATGGGCCAGTTTTATATAAAATATTTGCAATTTCATACTACTTGCGGTTATATACGAAGTTGACTTCCACTTCGTTATTTTAAATGAGATGCTTTAACACCTAATTATTTGAGTTTTTTCTGGAAAAGATACCATTCAGTAAATTAATTGCTTTTTATGAACTAAACAAGACATACCTTCTATTTTTAAGACTTGCTTGAATCATTGGTCTTGCCTAGTATCTACCAACAACAAAAATTTATACCGGTGATTCTTAGGAACTGTGAAATTTCGTTGAAGATCCAAAAATAAAATTTGTTTGAATAGACACTCTATTTTTGTTCACCAGTGAATTCTGGACTGAAAATAATGAGTATTCTCTAATTACATTTCTATATCTAAAATGAACAATTTTTATAGGCACAGAAAGTGAACCTTGGCGATATTTTTAATTATTGATTGTTTTTTACCTAGGAAAACGATCATGCAATGATTACTGTTCTATCAAAAATCAAAATAGAAAATAATAATTTTAACGTTGGTGGCATAGTCACAATAATAAAAAATTTACAAAACTCGTGGGATCCAGTCAATTTTGGAAAACTTAGTTTATTATGCACAATTAGATCATCCATGTTTTTGTTGGCATTTGCCGCTTTTTATTGTTTTATCATTGTGAAATTTTTTTCTGGATCATTGTGGGGATGTGGTTAAGGTTGTTTTAAGTATCGTTGGAACGTTTTAAAAGGCGAAAAAAAGTGAAAAGAAATTTGATTCGTATAGGTTGGTAAACATGCTTCCCATTTTAAGACTCCGCTAGAGTGAGCATATTAGAGGAACCTACCATAAAAATTTCAACCAAATTGCTCCGCAAATAAGAAAGTTTTCTATTCCCACGTCTGTTGTTTTGTTTCCTGCTATAGATTGCATACGACGACTCTGTCTCAATTTTACACACATTTTTATAAAAACATGTAACAAATTTAATGTAATATTATTATGTTTAATTTTTTTATTTGGTAACACTATATAAGGTTGGGGCGCGGACAACTTGTTAGTTTCCGTTTAATGTAAGATAGCACTGTAGGAATAGCACTAAGGTAAAATAATAATTATTCACGCAAAATTTTGCTTTTTTTATTTATAGGGCCCATCATGAGGCCGTGCTGAAATGATTATACATCGTTTTTGGTGAGATGTGTGTAAAATATAATTAGATACCGTCAAAGAGTTAGCTAGAAATAAATGATTAATTTATAGTGATATTGGCACTGGGACTAATGGAAAACATAAACGTAGTTCTCACTTCGTGGATTGCTCTAAAACAATGTTAAACATTGCGTTTTTAAATGTTTGTAATGAAGATTACATCATTTCGATGGCGATCTATGAAGAATGTGACAAAGTACTAGGTAGGACCGATGCGATATTCTGCATATGTTAAGATTTTATCTTGATGGCTCTGGTCAATGAAAGACAATCAAGCAATAAAAACGCTACAATAGCTACAGAAATTTTCATTTCGCTCCTCTTTCTATAAAAAGCGATCTGTTTACATATAGGGATGTAATAATTACAACGCCTGTTCTTCGGTGCAGAGTCCATGGGTAAACAGAAAAGTGAAGGTTTATGTAGTTTGAAATTGGTACGAATTTGTGAACATTTTGAACAGTTTTTATAATATTAGATAAGGCTATGCTTTCTTTAAGCACCCCTTGAAAATATAATGGGACTATCCCGTTTGCTTTATAAAAGCTAATTTATTTTGTGAAAAGCTATATTTCCCAATCATTTTGAAAAGACAAATAGTTTAAGAAACCATTCAATTTAAGTTTAGGGTTTGTGATATCCAATGTGCTCCAAATTTGGCGTAGATTTCAAAAATAAATAAAAACTAGTGCATCTCATTTAAAATAATAACTAAATAGCTAGTGTGAGCCATTTGCTGAAAATATTTTAGCTGAAACATACCTACTCGATGTGTACCATCTTCAGAAATTTATT